CCCACCGCCAACTCTTGGGCTACTCTTTTACCAACGAATAGTGGGATTGACCGTCACATTATAACGCCCCCACGGCTGAAAGGGCGAGCATGTTTGGTGTGACGGGGATTCAAAATCGCGACCCCCAGATTGAGAGTCGAGCATCCCTAACCACCTGGCCATGCCGGACCAGGAAAAACTTACTCCCACGTAGGTTTTAATAATTTCCAAGCTTAATATTGATGAAGAGTCGTTTTTTTAAATGTTTCCGCGTATTATAAAATTTTATGAACACTTTAATCAGAAGTAAAAGAAAATAATTCCATTGTGATCGGAGACATGAAAAACAACAACAACAACTCAATAGTTATCTAATAAAGTACCATCTATATAAAATATCTTCGTTGTGAAACGGAAATTCAATAAAAGAAATAACCGTGAGTAATGGAAGGACGATCTATTATTTTTGTGACGTATACTTGCCTTCTAATAGGAACGCGCCAGCTTCTGCCGCTAGGATAAGACGATTGTCTCCTGTATGTATATATATATAGAAAGAAAAAAAGAAACATGAACAGTTATTGTTACTCCGTCGTCCGGGAATAAATGATAGAACCGGAAATAAAAGTACAGCATTATAGATAAAAAAATAAAAGAAATTTGAGACTTTCTGCTTTACTTAGTAAAACTGGCTGTTTGAGAAAAAAATGTTTCTTAGAAGTTCTAAAAAAAAAAGACCTCTAAAGAAAATTGATTATTTTAAATCTTATTTCTTTAAAAGTTTTAAAACGAGACCTCTAAAGAAAACTAAGTATTTTAAATCATTTTTTTCTTTAAAGTTTTAGAAGTTCTTTACAAAAAGAACTCTAAGGAAAATTGACTATTTTAAATATGTTTTCTTTAAATTTAATAGATTTTCGGTTTGTTTGATTTTAAGCGCAAAAGCCACAGTGGGTTATTTGAGTTGTGACCAGCGTGAGTATCAAACCCTAATATTTAGGGTTATAAGCCATCGGTGGGGGGGCAATAGGATTTTGGAAGCTCATTTTTGTTAAGCAATTAAAACACTTTATTTTATTTTTACGTTTTGTTCCTGGTGTTCATCAAACTAGTAAACAATGCTTATGAACGAACTTAATTTTAGATTTTTTTTTTCATTCTTGTCTTATTTAGTCTGATACAATTAAGAACCATAATAGACAAAGAATAATTTGGGAATTTCATGATAATCTGTTTTATTTCTTTAATTGGGTACCTGAGGATTAAGAAAAAGAGCAAACTTGTCAAAACTTACCCCAAGAATCTCCACAAACGACGTCATGAGGGAAATCTGGATAGAAACACTGTGCTTTCCAGGGCTGTATACAATTAAATGATAATAATAACTGCTCGGTCCAGAAACACTAACATTTTGATAAGTATTTATTGATACAAGAGAAGAAGGGTTTCAATTTATGAAAATTATTTTTTTTATATACACTAATGCAGTGGCGCCACGGGTGACACGTTTAGAAAGTGTTTTATTTTGCATGCTGTTAAGCACACAGCTTATTTAATGGGCTATCTGTGCTCTGCCCACCGCTAGTATCGAAACCCGATTTTTTGAATTATAGGCCCTCATGGGTACCGCTGAGCCACTGAGGAGTTTTAGAAAGTCCAGAAGTTTCCACCTACATCTCCAAATAACGAGTGTTAAACGAAAATGATGACTCTCATACGGTGGATAACTCTCATACGGTGGAGGCTCTGTCTACGATTGACCTTGTTGCCCTTCTAGAAAATACTTAAAATAAAGTTGCACCCCAGTGGCACAGCGGTATATCTACGGACTTACAACGCTAGAAACCGGGTTTCGATACCCATGGCGAGCAGAGCACAGATAGCTCATTGTGTAGATTTGTGCTTACTTTCAAACAAACAATATAATAAAATTGCGTGTCGAGCAGTAGCAGATAACCATGGCCATCAGATCGCGCACGACCACTTGGGGGGAGGGAAGGGGTAATTTCAAAATCATGTCGATACCAAGAACGTCGTTTTTAATAAAGAGAATTATTAATCCCCAAATCATTGTAAGGGTGTGTTTTTGTGTTTTATAGCAAAGCCTCATCGGGCTATCTGCTGTGTCCATCGAGGGGAGTAGAACCCCTGATTTTAGCGTTGTAAATTCGTAGATTTACCGCTATCCCAATGGGGGACATCAGCGTAAAGAAAATAGAGTATGGGGCTAACCTAAATCTCCTAAGCTGACCAAACATCGTGTGATATTACTGGGTTTACGGCCGAAAACATCGTTAACAGTAAGGATACCCAATTGATGAATCAATGCGTTCTAGTCTTTACAAGTAGATACCTAAGAAAATGTATAATATAATTAGTTAGTTATATTGGTGGCGAGGTTAATTATTAGTTTCATTCAAAGTACATAGATGGCTCTGTTTAGAAAATGTCATTACTACTGCGTGAATTATGCAATGCAATGTGTTTCCTAAAAACTCGAAATATATACTTAGTTATACAGACAGTGGCGGCATCAAGGAGTCGAGGTCGTAACTTCTGAAATTTGTCTGCCTTCCCTAAAATCATCACTGTAAATCTGAATAAAAATCACATCTTCCAAAATACAATACAGTAACTAGGCAACTGCAGAAAAAAACACCCAACGAAACATTATCCAATCTTTAGTTAGTCCTGTTGTCCTTGCAGCCAATCACAGTAATCGAACCGTGGGACGCGACCGTTAAAGAAGACGCATATAATATTAAACGAAACTGTTTTATATGTTATTAACACATTTAGTTATTACATATTTCTTTGTTGTGTGTGTGTGTGTTGTGAGCTTGTTTAAACTATTCGATATTTACGGAGTTTAAGGATTACATATTAAAATATACCCCCTCCCCCGAGTACGCAATTAATTTGCATAGTCAGCATGATACCTCAGTGAACTCATAAAGAACCTTATAAAACCTTATACTCCCTATTGCGTGGAGTAATTATGTTAAAACAAATAAATTTATTAACGTGATCAAACACTGATGACAATGGTTTGGTGTGGGATGTGAGGAGAGTATAAAATGAAAACTCGTGAGCTCCCTTAATTTAGTAAGGGAACGTGCGAGTTCTTAGTTTACCTCTGGTAAAAAATTCTTAATAAAACTCGTTCAGAATGATCATGCTATAATTAAGACAGCGTAAAAACTGTGCACATGTATCAAGTTGCGTAGTGCGTAGTTTATTTTACAAATGTGACGACAGAGGTCTTTTTTTTAAGAAACAGTCAACAATGTGTTGTTAATTGTTTAACAATTTAATAATCACTACATTCTCATCGTGAAAAAACAAACTAAGAATGATGAAAAAAAAAACATTTATCAGTTTCTAATGCTGTTACCCAAAAATGTTCAGATGAACATGTTGCCTTGGAAACCAGAGTTGATCGGTGTGGTTTGACAAGGAGTTATTTAACAAAATGTATCTAGTGAGTTTTGAACACCTAGAAATCAACAAAATCAACCTGCAGTAAAAAAATAATTATATTTGTTTTAGTTTCTTAATTTATTTTCCAAAAAAAAAAAGCCTCCCCTCTAAGCCTATCTGCCTGCCCTCGCCACTTTCAGAATCCTAAAGTCGCCTTGCTCTTTATACAGACCAGAAGACTCAATTTAAATGGAAGGGAAGTTAACTCAAATAATAAGAGGGAAAAAAAGGACAAAATAAACGATTATTTTCGTATTTTGAAGGGGGGGGGGTATTGGAAATTATAAAGTTACAATCTATCTAAAGTTTATAAATGATACAATGATCAATGAAGTAATAAGGAGAAACAGGTGATCGTTAAAAACGTGTTAGGAAAACAGGTAGAAATACACGTGACCTGACTCGTAAAATA